AGTTGCTATCAAGGGTGGGATTTATCAAAAATATGCTCCGTTCCCCCGGCTGTTCTTCTTAGGCCAGATCACTAACAGGACTGGCTACAGATGGGGTGATGGAGCAGCTGTAGCTCAGGAGGTAGAGCAGGTCATCTACCAATCACAAGGTTTGATCCTGGCTGCTCCAGTCAGCATGCCAGATGTCCTTGGGCACAATACCAAAGTTGCTCTCCAGTGCTTTAACTTGAGTATGAACGTGTGTGAAAGCTAGACAGAAGAAATGGAAACTGCCTCTATGAGCGGGGAAATGAGGCATGTTGCACTGTGAGCGCTCCTGGAGAGTCCTTTGAAGGTAGCTCGTCTCATGTGTTACGTTCAGCTTTGCATCCTGTGTTGTGTTAATTAGTCCCACACCGTAAAAAAAAATCCTAAAAAAAACAGTAATATCCCGGCAGCTGGGGCCAAAATAATACCAGAAAATAACAGAAAATAACTTTCCCATGAAAACACGGTTATTTTCAGTAATGACAATACAGTTTGTTGCCCTAATTTCACATGAGATTCTGCCTTTTTCACGTGCTTTTAGACATTAAATCAGGAACATTTTAAAGTGATTAAACAATGAAATTACCTATAAACATGGTCAATGAATGCAGCAATATGAATAATAATACTTAAAGGTACAGAAATATACAGTTAACAGTTGGTTTAAATAATAATGGATTGAATTCATAAAGCGCTTTATGAGACTCTCAAAGCGCTTTATAATTCCACTTTATAACTCCCCTCTGACATCACCAGTAGGTGAAGTGTCTTGCCCAAGGACACAACGACCGAGAGCGTCCAAGCCGGGGCTCGAACCGGCAACCTTCTGATTACAAGGTGAACTGCCAACTCTTGAGCCACGATTGCCCTAAATATCAATAATAATAATTATTATTTGATGTAAAAAAAGTTTATACGACTCATTTGATATATTTGAATTTAACAGTTCGATCTTTCAAATAACGGACAGATATTTGTGAAATTATGATGCATTTGTGAATTATTTTAACAATCTAAATATACTCATGTACAGACAGATACATTTAAAAAACAAGAAAATTTTATTACATTTACAGTGATTTTACGTTAATTTACATTTGAAATGTAAAATCAGTCTATTGATGTAAATTTAATGATGTTCTAGAAAAACAAAACAAAACTGTAAAATACTTTTATATTACAGTTTTTTACAGTGCAGCTCCTTCCTTGTGTATGTAAGCCCTTTGTTTTGTTCCCTCCAGTGTCGCGTTCTCCCTCCACACTGTGTGTTCGCCCCGCCTGCCTGTTTGGTTTATTTCGTATTCCCTGTGTAGTTAGTGCCGGTTTTCCAGGTGTTCAACAATAAAGCCTTTTTTTGAGTTTACCTGTTGCCTGCTGGAGGCTGCATTTTGGTCCTCCATTCCTGCCGGACACACACAGCCCATGACACTGCATGCCATAAGTGAACAACACATTGATTCACAGATCTACACAGCAACTGTGATGGTTTGCTTAGGGGGGTTTAAGGGGCTTAATAAGTAGACTTTTACCTGGTGCCAGCCAGGTTTCTCTCCTGGGATATGACATTGACTAAATTAAATTAATTACATTAAATAATTACAATACAAACCACATAATGCAAGATGTTTGCCTGGACCACAGCAGTCAGTTCGACCTGCTTCCTTTCTCATGTTTCCCATCCTGAGTCCTGTGAGCACTCTAACTAACTCTAACTGGCTGGCTCCAGGCAGGGTGTGGGTGGCTGTAGCTCAGGACGTACAGCAGGTCAACTGGGCCTCAAACCGGGCCTCAAACTGGGCCTCAAACCGGGCCTCAAACTGGGCCTCAAACGGCCTCTGAGCTTTCACAGACTGTCTCTTGTATTTCTCCTGATCTCCGACAGCCTTCCAACATTATCCAGCTCTCCTTTCTCTCCCATGTCCTCTATCAACACACAAGCCTTATTGCAAGAGCTTTCTCCTGAACTCCACTCGCAGCCTTATCGCGAGCTCTCTTCTTTCTCCTGACCTTTGCCAGCCTTTATTGCAGGTGTCTGCCTGTATTCTGTGCCTTTGGTAATGCTGCATTAGTGTGGTTTATACTCTATAGAGACGCTGTCATCTTCCTGTCATGGTAAGATTGCTCTTATTCTTTTTCCCATCACCGCTGGGATTCTGCTCTGCTATAGTGGGTCATCAGAGTCTAATTACCAAATAGCTTTACTTTCATTGCTCTAGTCCAATCATTGCCCTGCTTACCTTCTCCAAGCTAATCAGCCTCCTTCTGCTACGAGTGGTATTGGGTTTTTACCCGGGCAGTAACGGGAACACTAAACAGTCAAAGCACATGTGAACGTCACTGCTTTCAGTTTCATTCTTGGTCCATACACGTGGGTGAATGCTTGGTCACATGCCTATAAACATACAGCCAGATACAGGCACAAAGCTAAAACACTTGGAGCATCTCTTTCTCATCAGTGCATCACTTTCTTTTTCACTATTTTTAAGAAGTGCAAATTGGACAAAGGTACAGGGTCAAAGCTAAAGTTGCACCCATATATTTTGTATGTATGCATGTGGAAGGCAAGGCACCAATGGCCCTTTATATGGCTGCTAGAAACATGTTACTCCCTACTGAAGAAAACAGAGACTTTCTAAATAAAAACAGCGAGAGGGAGAAGTACAGACTGGTCCAGGATTCAAGGGTCAAAATAACCAATCAAACTTGTGTCACTGCTGAGAGGAAACAAAGTGACTTTGGGATGTCCTTAAACACTTTGAAATGCCAAATGTGTTTCAAAGTGTCTGAAAAGTAAACGGACTTTAACAAAGAAGCTGATGTGCTGCACAGACTCTCAGTCTGCCTAAAGAAAGCAGAACATGAGTGAACGGCTGACAGTTAAGTGATTTCAGGAAGCTTCACATTCAGAAGACCAGCATGTGTTCACGGCGAGCATGCTTCAGCCTTACTGTGGTGTACTAGCGAGAGCTGAGATAAGTGACACTAACAGGCTGCTCTGTGATTGGCTGCAAACTGGACACTTTTGAAGCTGCGGTGAAGAGGAGGTCACTGCAAAGTGTTGTGTATAACAGACGACCTGGACTAACCTCTGCAGCACTGACAGACAGGCAGTGAAGCACTAACAGAACGACTGTGCTCCACTCTCACAACGATACCACATACATGGGAGAAAGTATTTCTTATCCTAGCTTAATTAAGTCTTTAGACAAATAATGATAATAATTATGTTGTTGTTGTTATTCTTTTTCTTTTGTTTGTTTCTAAAATGAATTCTGCAGAGTTTAAGGACTTGGATCCGGACTGTGTTGTTGCTTTCATCCGTTTTCTTCACCTTCTTCAGTTCGAGGTTATGAGTAGGGCCTATCCCAGCTGCTGTAAGGTGAGGGCAGGGTAACCGCAGGATCTATTGTAGCTACGTATAGTTTGCTGTTTTTCCTCCCACAGTGTTTTTCTGTTATTCTAGCTACCTTTTGATTTTCTGGGGACTCGTTCAGGATGTAGAGATAAAACATTCTGTTTAAGGACGTCGCAGCCCACGGGGAAAGCCTGATGAGGCGTCACACAGTTGGGTTACACTGTCACTGTGATAATGCTGAGAGGCTACGGGTCAAGTGTGGAACAAAGACAAGTGAAACAGTTTACCTTGTTTCCAGAGGTACATTGCTACCAAGCACCCAGCTGTCTTGCAGCGGGACGCTCTCGGGGGGCGTGGTCTGCAGCTCTGCTGGTGATTGGCCGGCCACAGGGGCCGGGCTTCCAGTAGGAGGGGTTAGCTGCCTTGTGGAGTTCAGGGATTGGCCAGTGTGATGTGTGGCGCTCAGGGCTTGGCTAAGAGCTGTTACCGAGGGTTGTTGGCGATGAGGAGGTGGTACCGGAGGAAGGCTGGAGTTGTGATGATTGGACGGTTGCTCTGTCAACAAACAGAAGAGAAAACAACTCATCTTTACACACATGTAAATCAGTGGCACTAACATTGGTAGCGTTGTCTTTTTAGCGGACTGGAAGGGTCCTTTCCCCGAGTACTGCTGTCGTTATAATCCCTGTAAATCAAACGGATACATTTAGATCATATTTCACGTCACAGTCTCTCATCTGAAGAAATCCGTCCTTAACGAGAGAAAATCATGTTAGCCACAGACCGTTTTTAAACAAACAAAGCAAAAAAGCCAACACTTCTTAACCAAAGACAGTCGGTCCGTCTACAGATGAAATGGCTGAAGAAGG